GCCCTTCAATGGATGAATGGATAAAAAAAAAAAAATGTGGCATATATACACAATGGAATATTACCCAGCACTAAAAAATAACAAGAACACGGCATTTGCAGGGAAATGGATGGCATTAGAACAGATTATGCTAAGTTAGCCAATCCCTAAAAAACAAATGCCGAATGTCTTCTCTGATATAAGGGGGGTGACACAAAATGGGGTAGGGAGAAAGAGCATGAGAAGATTATCACTATATAGGGAAGAGAAGTGGGAAGGAAAGGGAGGRAGAAGAGGAATTGCACAGAAGATAGAAGGAGACCTTCATCATTATACAGAATACATGTATGACGATGTGAGGAAAAAGAAAAAAAAGAAGCGTCACATTAGATTGGATAGAGAGAAGTGATGGGAGGGGAGAGGAGGGGGAGAAGGGATAGGAAGGGCAGCAGAATAAAATAGACTTTATTATTTGCTGTATGTATATACTTGACTGCATGACCAATGTGATTCTGCAAAYTGTACACTCAGAAAAATGAGAAATTATACCCCATCTGATTCAAATGTATGATATGTCAAGATCATTGTACTGTCATGTGTATGTAACTAATTAAAACAAATTTTTTTAAAAAGGCACAGGAGAAATCCCTACCAATAAAGTAGAGCTACCAGCATCTCTGCCAAAGTTGTCCCTAGGAATTCTGGGGGAAGTTTCTTTGGTATATTTGAATCAAATCCTGTCCATTTCTGTCTCCAGGACCCATTTTCTCCAGATTGTAATACATATCGTGACTAAACACTATTCCAATAGAAAATCATCTCTAGAACAAAAGCCAAACCAAATGCACAGAGTACTCTCCAAGCAAACAAATTTCCCCCTGAAAGTAGCCGGTAGTACTAGTCCATAACATTTTATCTCACACCAATTGGTACTGCAAATGACCCAAGCAATATCTAAGTGTCTATTTAGCCCAAAACAGCAGAAGTAGAGGATTCCCAGGGTTCACACCAGTGCAACTTTACCCAGTCTGGAGTCGGTCAACTTCCCTTCTTCCTAGTCTCCCAAAGACTTTTTTTCCACCCACAAAGGGGTTGTAGGCAACTGATGCTGCAAGGAGGAGAAAAGGCAGAACTTCCTAAACAACTTCTGACAACTTCTAGGAGTTCCCTGAAATCCTAGTCATGGGGTCAGCTTGTCACTAGCAGCTGACACTCATGAGCAATTCTTGTTCCTTTCAGTAGCATAAACCCAAAGAGCTGCATGTCCTAGAAAGCACTACTCCTGGCTGGTTTGCCAAATTTGTTACTGGACCCACTCTTCTGCTTACCACTTGAAAGTCAATACCTGGAGACAAGATTTGGTAGGAAGAAAATCAAGTCTATTTCAGGGCTAATCCTGAGATGATGGTGCAGACAATCACCACCCCCCTTAAAAAAAACTATTTTGTAGCACTCAGGTATGTGGAGGGAAAGGAGATGCAGTTGTACAACAGTCAGGAATGCTGGGTCTTCGTCATACAGAGTGTGCCTTTATTTTTCTTTGACTAGAGCAATGAAGTAGATCTTGACCTCTTGTAGTGAGATTTTGTAATTTCTTTGGAAAAACATTATTTTTCTGAAAGCTAAACCTTACAAAAAGTTACAAGCTTTACATTAGTTGAAGCAAAGAACTGAGGATTGGAGAAAGTGAGACACATTCTGGTGCTATCTGAAGATAGAGATATTCTGATGTTCTGGTGATTCTTTAGCAGATTATTTAATAATTAACCTCTTAATCACTTAGGTGCCTTTCTTTAGAATCTAGAATGCTGGGCAAAGGGAGGGGAAGAAATTCTGCCAAGGTTCACTCCCAAAGAAGCAGTCAGTGTTAAAGTAGGAGACTTCACAGCTCAGAAATCAGGTATCTGTCACAGTGCCTCTTACACTGTGCCTGGGTCACTCCTACTCTGGAGAATTGCTGAAAGTTCACCACCACTCCTCTCATCTCAAGAAAGCACTGCTGAGATACTAAATCTTTTACGCACAGTCTCCCTACATTCCCCTACTTCTCCATCCACTATTACTTCTAAATACCTCTATATGCCTTTCAGTACCGGCTCCTGCCTCCCCATGTACARTTCATACCTCCTGAATGCCTACCTCTGTTGATGTCATACTCCTCTGGCCCATCTGTGGGAAAGGGGGTGTGTCATTTCAAGTAACTCATGGTTACTTCTAGTGTTGAGAGAAATGCTGAGTCATCATTGTATAAATTCTCACAGAAACAGTGCTACTCTCTCTGCACACCTGAGACTGGAAGGACCAATCAAAAGGTAAGCAGGATTCTCTAGTCCTTTGGAACTTCTTTTCTAAAAAGAGCTTAGGAGATGGGAGAAATGAGCATCTCATTCTCTAAGGTGGACAAAGTTACATCAAGTACATACTCTATGCCAGGCCCTGTACTAGAGCCAGGAATGAAATGAAGAAAGAGAGAGAGAGAGAGAAGAGAGAGCACAATAGATGTAGGGAGGACCAAGGCCTATAGGGCAATAGTCATAAACAAGCCAGCACTAACATCAGTAAAGAATTAACTTGGAAGAAAACTAAATGTGGTGATGGGTGCATTGATAAGCTTGGTTATGGCAATCATTATACCTTGTATTGAATTATTACATTGTATACATTGAATATATACAATATTTATTTATCAATTATACCTCAATTAAACTAGGAAAAAAGTTTTCTTGTTTTCATACATCATCTTCAGTGTATGAGCTATTATTATTGCCATAACATCATTATTAATAATAAAATGGTTACTCAAAAATAATTATAATCTTTGATATCTTAGTGTCAGATAAAGATGGTGTTGTGCTTTGGATTTGGAATGTGCCCCAAAGTCTCATGTGCCCCCAGTGTAGCCAGGTCCAGAGGTAGGGCTTTGGGAAGTGATGGATCATGAGGGTTTGGACATCATCAGGGGATTGACCCATTGATGGCTGATTGGACCCACTGGGAGGTGAGACAGTTGGAGGAAGCAAGGCCTGGAAGAGCTGATCTTCTCTCCAGCCCCATCCCCTGTCCTGCAGCTTCCTGGCTGCCCTGGGCTGTGCAGCTTTTCTCTGCCACATCCTTCCCCCATGATGTTCTGTCTCACCTCAGGCACAGCTGACCAGTGACTGAAACCATGAGTCAAAAGAAAATTTTCTTCCTCTAAATTGTTCTTGTCTGGCATTTTGGTCATAATAATGAAAATCTGACTAATACAGATGGGGTTGAGCATCATAAGTTATGGAGGGTATCTGGGAGTATCTTTCTACAAGTTGATTTGTAAACTGAGACTGAAAACAATCAGAAGAAGTAGCATGTGAAGAAAAGAAGGGAGGCTGGGCAGGTATGGAAGGGTCCAGTGAGGGGGTTGGGCCCCAAGGGAGTTAAACAAGGAAATATATTTTGGCATATTGTGTTGAACACTGAACAAGACCCTGGAAATGAATGGAGGGGTTTTTCAGAAACATAAATTTCATCCAAAACTTATAGGATGAGATGGAAGCATCCATAACAGAATGATGAGCAAAAGTCCTGAGGCAGAAATGAACTTGGCCTGTTTGGAGAAGTCAAAGAACCCAAGGAGTCTGGAGTGAGATGTGGTGGCACAGAACTCAGAGTGTGGGCAGAGAAGTGGGCCTGGGAAGGTACGCAAAGGAGTGACAGCCTCGTCCCACACTTAGAATTGACCTCCCATGCTGGTCACTCCTTCCTACCCTCCTTTTCTACTTCTTCATTTCCCTGGCATTTTGACACTTGAGGGTCCCATGGACCAGAAGCTGACTCTGTTGTTTCCAATAATTATTTTGCCTTTTCGGCCCAAAAAAGCCCTTCTTCCACAAACAATCATTACAATGCGTTTCAAAGGTTTTGTTTTTTTTTTTTTGTTTTGTTTTGTTTTGTTTTTTTTGTTCCCATGTGTTCTTGCAAAATGGGTATGATTTTCCGTCATGTGCAAATCTCATTGCATGGCCTGTGCCGTGGCTTTTCCGGGCCCAGAGTCTCCCTCACACAAGACCGAGGGCCTCCTGTCTTTTGCCTTTGCCTTTCTACTCTCTTCTCCACCATGGTCCCGGGCCTCTGCTATATCTCTCCCTCCCTGGTACCCAGTTCAGTTTCCTCCTCAGTGAGGGGAAGAGCCACAGAGATCTGCCTTCCACCTGTGTCCCAGAGCTGACTCCTTCCTAGACCAGCTGCTTGTGGGAAACTCCCAGTTCCAGTGCTGCATGGCTGGGGTTCCTGCAGCAACTGGTTATGCTCTTCATAGTTGAGAATATGGGAAAAGGAAATGTGCACCCACTAGAAGGTCTGGCTCCTGTCTCTGCAGACCACACCCCTTCACCCACACACTTGACTACTGGGCCATATTCCCATCCCTTTTTTGTGGGTGTATTTTATTTTATTTAGAGACAGGGTCTCACTGAGTTGCTTAGCTCCTCGCCATTGCTGAAACTGGCTTTGAACTCATAATCCTCTTGCCTCAACCTCCCCAGCCTTTGGGATTATAGGCTTGCGCTACCATGCTGGGCCTTACTCAACCTTTTGACTAATGTGGCCTAACTTCTGCCAACCTTACTGTGGGTAATGCACAGTAAGTAAGGTGGAAGAAGGAGACACAGACGCAGACTAGAGGCAACCATGCGTATGGTCAAAGGACTGAGATGCTCTGAGACTGAGGAGCCACTGGCCAGCCTAGGGCCCTTGTCATACTCCCAACACTTTTTGGTCCTTGGGTTTTTATGTGTAAAATGGGGTTTATAAGGATGTCTACTTCAGAGGGATGCAGGGAGTCAACACAATGACTCAACACAGGAGCTGGCAGATGAGAAAACCTTAGTCCATGGTGGAGTCGGGGGTCCTACACAGACCTGGGTTAGGGTAACCCAAGGACAGAACCCAACTTCCCTGGGGATGGGGAAGTCAGGTATTACTTCATGAAGAGAGCCACTCTGGGGTTGGCAGACAAAAACTAAGCATAGGGTAATTGCTCCTAATGAGTTTTTATTGACCACCATAATAGGAACTATGAACAAATAAATGGTTTACTTTTATATAAACAATGTTGGCCAAAAAAGATCTTGTTTCTCTAGATAGGGAAAGTTTAAAATTTTGAATTTTTAATCCAAATAGAGCCCAAGTTAGAGGAACTTGATCACCTGCAACCCTGTCCCTCCCTCTGCTGCAAGAGACTCGAGGGTAGTGAGGCAGCTGGGATCCCTATGGACAGACTCCAGCTTCTGGGTCACTCACTAGCTCAAGGGCTTGATGACCACTGGGGCTTGTGTTTTATCTCCTCTGCAGAGTTTCCCCTCCCTCAATTGAGAGTGCTGGGGTCTCTATGCTCCCCAAGGTACAAGGGAGCAGGGCATCTGCTCCCTAAATGAGGCTTCCTGGGCTGTCTCTCCCAGCCAGATCCAGTGCTGTGTCCCCAGGAAGCCCTTTTCCTGAGTCTGCATCCTTGGGAGCCGGGGAGAAGGTGGAGGTTTACTGTGTACAATCCAGGTTGAGGATGGATGGGGTGAGTAGTGCCAGCCATGGATGGAAAGGACAAGTAGCTTTAAAGACTCAGGGGTCCAAGGACCTCCCAGGCCCTTTAAGGGGCCAGTGTGTCCCCCAAAAGCTACCCTAGCAAAGGCAGAATATCCTCATGACATCTCAGACAACCATTCCTCCACCAGGAGGCAAGCCCTGCACTGGATCACTATTTAATATTGGGTGTCTTGGCCTTAGCCCTGGAAGGGGACCCTGAGGGGCCTGCACACTTACTCCAGCAGCACTCAGAGTGCAGAAGGCACAAGGGCCAGAGATGGGGGAGGACTACTGAGTCAAAGATCCTCGGATCACATCTAAGCCCTGACACGTGTGGCTGTGAGACCTTGTGAAAGAATTTGCTCCTCAAATTCCCTCTTTGTAAATGGGGATAATAAAAGGGGGCTACCTCATTATGTTGCTGGAATGAATATATGAGGTCAGTACTTAGCTGGATCCTCACACATTCAGATGCTCAGGAGATATCAGCCCGTTAGCCATAGCAGACACTGAGCCACGTAGGGGGTTCGTGAAGGCTGTGGCTCAGCAGGGCAGGCGCAGATGTGGAGGGGAGGCCCAATATGCCCAGAACCACAAGGGTCCCAAGGTGTGTGTACTGAACTGACCTGGGCACACACCCAGGGTTGAGGAGCTGGCCAGGGTCTAGATTCTGGGAAGAGATGAGTGAGGAACTTTACTCCTGAAAGGAAGAATCTTCCCACTAAATCAGCATTGACCTTATCTGAGGGAGAGGCAGGAAAACATCATGACTATGCTCACAAGGAAACTGGACCTGCAGCACCAGGAAGCCACCTGCCCCCTGCCATTCATGGTGATAACAGGATGGACCAAAAATTAGAGGGAGCTGGCTCTGCCCTAAGGGGTGGTGGGTGGGGAAGGCATGCCCTAGGAGGGTCTGGGAGATGTGAGAGTTCAGATTCTGCAGAATAGGAGCATCCAGGGTGAGGCCAGGCCTAGCTCCCACCAACTCTAAAACACAAGCTTCTTCGGAACCTCCCAGGGGAACTCGCTCCTTCCAAAATGACCATAGCACGCCGTCTTCTGGTAGATTGCCTTCTTCAAATCCAAATCCCTGCATGTTTGGCAGAAGGAAAGGTCATTTATAAATGGAAAAGAAATTTCTTTGAATACAAGCATAAGAGCAATTCATGGGCAGGCCTTTTGTGGGGCTTCGCCACCCATGTGCATGCTCTACATAAGCCTCAGCACCATCTTGCTCCACAGCTTAGGAAATGGAAGCTCAGATGTTCAGAGACAGCTGGGCACACAGATGCACCAGGAACCAGGATTTGAACTCTGCCATTCTCCTCTTTACTCAACTCCACTAGACTGTCCCAAGCCAATGTCAACTGGACCAAGCTCCAGAAAACAGGAATAGCATGAGAAATGAGAGCATGTGGGAAAGGACTTGCCTACTCGATTCCCAGCTGTTTTGCCTTACAATAACTTTTCTGAGCTCCCCCAGCTGCTCAAAGATGGCCCCACTGGAGTTAGCGTCTGCTGGGCCAGCAGGGATCTCATGCAGCCTCCTTCCATCTGAAAACCGGACACTCCGTGCTGGGGGTGTACACGGTGCTGGGCCAAGAGCTCAAGAACCTCCTCCTTGGGCTGCACAACTGAGCAAGGGAGGGGCAGGGTCCCAGCACTCTTACCGGACAATGACGCCTGGTCGGAGGTCAAAGTTCTTGTTCACCACATCTAGCAGCTCCCTCTCCGTCTTCTGTGAGGTTCCATAGGTGAAGATGGAAATAGACAGTGGCTCCGCCACACCAATGGCATAGGACACCTTCCAAAAAGGCCAGGCTCAGTGACTGAAGCTTCTTACAGAGATGTCCTCAGGCCAAGGCCAAGGGACCACACTTCTCCTGCCCCATGGGTTTTGCCACCTTATCTTACCAGCAGTCCCCACTGTCTTCATGAAGTCCCCTTCTGTAATGCTCATCTCCCTGAACACTTCTGTTCTGCCTCCCTCAGCTTTCCAAAGCACTGACCGCTCTGCCCAACCCACGACACAGTCACAACTATTCGCAAATGTGTAGCTTTCTGAACATCTTATTCAGGGTGGAGCTGGACCAGGGCCATCAACAGGGACAGACAGGTGGAGTCAGAGTAGGAGGGGGTGGCCTACCTGGACAAGCACTCTCCGGCAGAGCCCTGCTTTCACCAGGGACTTGGCCACCCAACGGGCAGCATAAGCTGCTGAGCGGTCCACCTTGGTGTAGTCCTTTCCAGAGAAGGCCCCACCACCATGAGCACCCCAGCCGCCATAGGTATCCACAATAATCTTGCGGCCAGTGACACCTGCATCCCCCTGCAGAGGGAAAGAAATGGAAGAGATGAGAACCAGAGCCCTGAATGGCTGGAGAGGGGCAGAAGTCCTCAAGAAGGAAGTCATCTGCAGGGATTTATCAAAGATCCCTTGGCTGGTAATTAACCAGAAACCTCAGGCTTTTGTCTGCTTTGTCACTGACCAGCTTTGGGAATTGGGTAACTGGTCAAAATCTCATTATAATGTACCAAAGATGAGCCAGAAGTTGCCTGGGGACACAGCCACCCCATGCCCCCTGCTTTTGTTTCTGGGTCCATCATAAGGAGAAATCCAAAAGCAGATAGGAATATTACCACCATAAATGTAACTTTGGGCTATGACCCTGGCTAAGGAAATGCCATGTTGCCCACGTCCTAAGTGTGTCCTGTGCAGCATCAGTCAATAAAAAATGCCTTTTAAGGGTGGAGGGTCTATGTAAAATCATTTGGGGAGAGTCTGCTTTCTCTAACCCTCCTTTGGGACATCCACAGTTCACACTGGTGTGTCCAGGCTTTTGAGAAGTCCTGCAAGAATGAACAGTAAGCCCGGCCCTTCTCTTACCCTGTGTTTCCACACTACATTTGTTCCCCAAGCCTGATATGGGGCTCACCCCTGTGGCAAGGCATCTGTGGCCCTCTGGAAGCTGCAGCAGTCAGCTGCCTCTCAGAGGTACTCTGCCAATCTCCACCGCCTCACTCCTCAGGAGAAAGCAGGCAGCAGGTGTCCCCACTCAAAACCCCACCCCACCATGTTGCCTACCAGAGCTGGAGGCAGCCATGGTAGATACCAGCAAGTGCCACAGTGGAGGGGTCAGCCATGAGCAGGCACCACAGCTAGGATGCATGCCCCAGCAGGGAGAGGCAGTGGCAGCTGTGGACAGGTAGAATGGCATATGAGATGGCCAGAGTGGAAGGGTCAGGCAGCGCTAAGCGGGAAACTCCTAGAGACAAGTCACACATTCCTGGTGTACTGACAGATACTCAGTAGGCCCCCACAGAGTGCCCCTAAATATAAAATATACTCTCTTTACCTCTTTTCTGCAGCCAGACCTAGTTGAGCCACTCAAAGCTATCTCTAACCATCTGTGTGCTTGTAGACATAAGCAACTTCAGGAACCAAGACCCAGCTCACCTGGGGACCTCCGATAACAAACCGCCCACTGGGCTGCAGGTGGTAAACGGTGTCTTCATCCAAGTACTTGGCTGGCACCACAGCCTTGATCACCTGCTCTTTCAGGGCTTTGCGCATGTCCTCTAGCGTAATGTCTTCATTGTGCTGCACAGAGATGACGATGGTGTGGATGCGCACAGGGATGACTGCGCCATTGTCCTGCACGTACTGAACTGTCACCTGTTCACAAGAAGTTCAGGGGAGGCATGGTGAGGTTGAGGCCTGAGCTGAAGGCACCTGGTTGCCAGGCAGATATCTAGCAAGCAGGCAGGTATCCCAGGGATCAAGTGGGACCTCTTGCCTGCAAAGGGCTCCCAGAAAGTTAACATGCCTTTATGTTTGAAGCTACCTGGTACTATGTACAATGGAGCATACAGCATAGCTATTCCCATGTGTGACCATAATTAGCATGACTTAAAGACTTAAGTTGCAGCTGGGACCCACTAAGCAACTTCTTCTCTTTTATCTTAGAGGTTTCTGGACACCAACAAATGTCTCTCTGGCCAAAGCTCTCTTCTGACCCTCCATGTCCTTGGGGCAAATTATCTCTGCTACTACCAGTGACTACAGGAATCCACAGGCCATATGTCAGTGGCAGGAACAGGGATATCTTGGCCCCTGGCTATGAATGTTTAAGGGAAGACTTTGGCCAGAGAGACATCTATTGGCACCAAGAGCCTCTGAGACAGAGGGAGGAGTCTGATGAGTGGCCCCAGCACCCTCAATGGAGGAGCCCTGGGAGTGTCTGGGGCCATCAGACTTGCCTGCTGTAGTGACGACATGAGCAGGATCCTGGCCAGGGGATTGAGATGGAGTGGGTAGCAAGCTCTGGACTGCCTGCACCTTGGATTTTTGCCAAAAGAAGGAGGGGCTGAGGGGCCTGAAGGGAGGGAGCCTTCCCATGGTGCCCGGGCAGGGCAGGCCACAGGCACAAATCTAATATTCCTTTCCACCATGATTGGCTGGTTCTGTGTTCATCCTGTGCATTATCAATTCATGTTTAAGACATCACAAATGAGAAAAACAAAGCAATGGAAGGGAAACGATTTGTGTGATGTCTGTTTGTGAAGGACCAAAGAGCCAAACTCTGCTCAGTACAGACAAAATGCTTCCCACTGCAGTACAGACAAAATGCTTCTCCAGAGACCCCTGTCCTTTACTGACTCATCACTGAGTACAGGAGCCTGATGTCCCAGATGGATGTCTGTTGGTGACAAAGAAAGGCAGCCTGGGCACTGGGTTTTCAGAGTGAATGGAAAGGAGGTAGTGAGGATGGCAGATGAGGCTGGGAATGGAAATGAACATTGGTTGAATATGCCTGGTATGCTAGAAGCCATGCCAAAGAGGAGAAACTGTTACTTCCCCATTTTACAGACTAGAAAGCCAAGGCTCCAGAAAGTAAGAGACTTGGTCAAGGTCACACACAAGAGCTAAAAGGTCTAAATTTGGAGTTAAACGGCCTGATGTCCAGGGTTCTTTTCAGATGAAGTCTGCTACTTAAGACATCTGAAGCATGAGCTAGACCAACCCTGCTTAAGGCAGTGTGTACCCATAATAGTGATGCCCATAGGACTTGAAGGCATGAGATGCCTGCAGGGATACACCTACCCTGGGATGGACACTGGCCCATAGCATAGGACTACTCCCTACCTGAGGGCCTGTTCAGGGCAGCAAGCATGCTATGTTCCCATAGCAATGTCTCTATCTTCCTGTGGCACCTCAGATATCCATCAAATGCTGACTCTTGCTCTGTTTCCTGCCTGGTCTAAAGAGCTAACAGGTGGAATCCAGAAGAAAGGAGAGCAAAAGCCCTGGCCCACCTGATGCCTGACATTAGTGAGATGGGAAGATGTGCACAGACATCAAGCACTAACCTTAAAACCTCAGCTGTCCACACATGGGGCCCCATAAGAGGGTGTTGAAGGGTGGGGTTTCCCAAGACAGAAAACTCTGAGGCAGGCTCTCGTACCAGATGTGCTGCATGGAGCCTCAGAACAAGGATCGGTTCTGAGCTGCCCAGGCCTGTTCCCACTGCTCCCCTGGAGGACTCCACCCCTCACCCTGGCAAACCACATGCAGTGTCCTTGCAGAGTGGCAGAACTGGGTAGCAGAGCAGAGGGATCTAAGCACTGCTCTTATCTCCTCATGTCAGCAAGATATGGGGAAAAATACACCATGGAAAACATAGCTCTGACCAGGTACAAAAATAGCCATCACCTTGCCACCCAATTCTCAGTATCAGCAGCAAGAATTTGTTCAGGTGGAAAGACTCATCCTGTTCACGGTCAACACTGGTTAGATGGTGAAAATCCTTTACAAACAGGGCACAGGGAAGGAGGCCTGTGACCGGTTACTGGCACAGTGCCATTCACACCAAGAGAGCACCAGGAGGGAGCCAGGCACTCGATGCCCTCCAAGGGGCTAGACAGGGCACCAACTGGCCAACCTGCACCCTCCAACTGGAGCTGGCTCACAGCCCACTGTGGGAGTGAGGCAGACCCTCGAATTTATAACAGCATCTTAAGAGAATTCAGTGCATGCTTACATGAAGGGAAGCCCTAAAAGAGTCATCCTCCCCATTTTCCTCAATGACCCTAGACTTGGACACTTTCTATTTTTTTTTTTTTTATCTAAGCAAAACAAGGGTGGCTCTTCTTATTTCAGCTAGCCGGAGAGGTGGATCCTCCATTGCTCACTCTCACCCCCAAAAAGGGAAAGTCCAGTCAGTTCCACTGACTTCCTTCATCCGTGTTCTGGAATTTCCTTTCTATGAATCTCCATCCTGCTTCTAAATCATAGCACCATTTGAGGGCATGACAACTTTTCTGTGTCCCTTTCTTTCAGTACCATCGAAATCTGTGTTAGCTCTCCTGCTCCATGGCCTCGAACAACAACGAGAGAGAGAGAGGGTGGCGATCCCACCTCCCACCTTGAGGGTCACGTGGATAGCACAAGAAGGGCTTTCTTCTGGCCATGAGCACACTTCCTGACCCTAGACACTTCTGCCCTGTGTGTGGCCTCACATATGGGAGAGAGAAGGAGGTGTCTCTGTGCCACTGGAGTAACAGGACAGAGCCACACACACCATGCTGAACTATGAAATCACATGTGCCAATTCCAAGCACAGGAGCAAGAGAAGGTGCTGTCTGTGGTGACCAGCCAGGGCATGCAGGAGGAGATGGCAACTTTGTTGGCCACTTGTAGGAAAGTGACAGACCCAGAGGAAGGCAAAAGTTAGGAGCACAGATGTGAAGCACTAAGCCACAAGAGGAACCTGAGGGAAATGGTGCTACTTGAGCAAAGATGGGGTGAGGCATGGGCAGAGAAAGGTGAAGTTCTAAGACCATGCGAGGCTTTGAATGCCAAAGTGACAGCTGGATTTCTCCTTCCCCCATAGGAAGAAAGCAGAAACTTATCGAAAACACTGAAGGGATGTCAGGAAATTTAAGTGAAGCCTGTAGGAGTTTCTAAGCAGGGAGAGCCTCTGGGAGGGAGGGCGCTGATGCAGGCAGGGGGCAGCCTCTGTCATCAGGTGGGCTGGACCAGGGGATGTTCCACACGGAAAGTCTCGGGACACAAGTAGGGTAGAGACAGAGAGGGCACTGAACAGAACTGGAAACAGGTGATAATGGGCCACACACAGTGGGATTTCAGGGTGAGAAATGGGGCTCTTGATCTGGAGGGTCATGCAGGTGGGCAGATGTAAGCATTGAGCATGTGAAGGGGCAAGTGGGACCCACAAGCATGAACAGAGGGAGGGAGCACACGGAGGAAGAGGTGCCAAGACTTTGGGGGATGACATGTTGGAATGTGGAAGGGAGCCAGTGCAGGAGGCCACTGGGAAAACAGCATTAGGGTCATCAGGGTTAAACAGGGAGGCGCCATGGGGACTCAAGGGCAACAGGAGGCCTTCACATGTGCTAATGCTTGCATCACCGCTGACCTTCAAATAGGGACTGCAGGACAGATTGCAACACAGCAGGGTGAGAGAGGCCAGGGCCCATAGGGTTGGCTCTGGACGCAGTGCAGGTAAAGGCCTTTTATAAAACAAAGATAAGTAAAAGGGCCACAGTGAGACCCAGGTGGAACAGACAGCCTTCTCAAGATGTGGTGACCTGTGCATGTGCAAAGGCAGGGACCCATATGTCTGAGAATGGTTAAGAAATAAGTTTGTGACAGGAAGTGGGGGATCCACATATAACAGCAAGGCAAAAAAAAAGAAGAAGGAAAATCTAGAACAATTTGAACAATGTTTTTGTGAGGGGGAGAGACAGACAGGGAGGTACATCTACAGTGGAAGAGTTTTCAAATAAGTAATTCTTTTCAAAATGGACAATTCTTTGAGTGCCCAGATTGTGGAGGGCTGAAGAGGCAGCTCACCTGAGTCTTGGAGTCTGGTCTCAGCCAGGGAAGGACACCAGAGCGCCTCAGATCTGCCATCCGGGCATTGAGCTTGTGAGCGAGGATAATGGTAAGGGGCATGCATTCTTCTGTCTCATCAGTGGCATAGCCAAACATCAAACCCTGCAGCCGAACATCAGGGAATGATAAGCAACACCCACTTAGACCGACAGGACCATGGTTTTCTCCAAATCTAAAATTTCACTAGTGCTTCAACATTTTTGGATGCCTCATTCATGGAACACTTTGCACTGGGCATTTTTGAAGGGAAAGACATCATCCCTGGTCCCCAGCACTGTAGGAGCGGGTGGGATGAGAGAACCCAGGCTCTGGGAGTCTCTCTTCACTGGTTCATCCACTGTATTTTTTCAGTAATTGCATACTTGGGTTAGATACCTTAGCTTATGAATGACATTTAAGGCCCTTAATTTTCATTCAATACAGTGATTTTTCAATCTGGGTACTGGGGAGCCTCTGGAAAAACCTAAGGGATATAAACAATCGTAGCCTTTCACAACACAACATGGCCATACCCTGAAGTCACTGCCATGAAGCAGGGATGTCCAAGTCACTCTGGACATGTTCCCCTACAACTCTCATGCAGCATGATGGGTCTCCCTGATAGTACAACTAATCCATTGCCTGTGGATTTTCTCTTGAAGCCACACATGTCATAGTCTGATCCAAGAGTGAGATCACTGGAGTGATGTCCCACACAGCTCCCACAATGTTGACCTACCTGATCTCCTGCACCAACATCCTCTTCATTTCTGTCTAGATGGACACATTGGGCAATATCTGGGGACTGTTGCTCCAGAGCCACCAGCACATTGCAGGTCTTGAAGTCAAAGCCTAGGCAGAAAGGACACATGTCAGAGAGACAGGGTTGCCAGCTTCCTGGTAGACTACTCATCGCTGACATGGCCCTTTGTGAAGGGGTCTATGATCTCTAACCTAGGTTCACAGCTGCCACCCAGGATAGTGTGAAGAGGCCATGTCTTCTCCACGCAATCTTTTGTCAGAGAAAATTCTCCGCGGTACATTTTACTGTATTCAATTATACCTTGGTTTAAAAAGTATACCCTACATGGAACTGCAGCATAAAAACCAGGTGACAGTGGCTGATAAACAGGTTGGTGACACTAGGCCTTAGGTTTTTCCAGAAGCCTTAGGTTTTTTCATACACAGTATGAAAATCACTGCATTGAATGAAAAATCAAGGGCCTTAACTGTCATTCAGAAGCTCAGGAGCCTAACCCAAGTATGAAATTACTGAAAAAATACAGTGTGGATGAACCAGTGTAGAGAGACTCCCAGAGCCCGGGTTTTCTCATTCTGAAATGTTCACAGGGCCAGCAGCAAATGGAACAACCACACCCTTGGAGTCAAGGCCCCTGTCTGCAAAGCTGAGGCACAGAGTTGGAGGCTGGGTGAGACCAGTGTGCTGGGTGCTGGTGCAAGGAAGTCTTGCAAATTGTTGCCCACTCTAGATATCCCTGGAGGAAGCTGCTAGGTGTGAAAAGCATGTTCTTCTCCCAGTTGGCCCTCACAGAAGGAGGAGCTAAACACAGGTGCTCACCATGAGTTCTCTTTCCCAGAACCCCAACAGCCATCCCCTTTCCAGTCTGTTCTCCTACTCACAATGCCAACTTATGTTGTTTATGTTCAAGCCTCAGGTGGGGATCTCCCACCAGAGAATAAAATGGAAACGTCTCTGTTCAACAGAACTCTTGCTGTGGGAAATCCTTTAGGGTTAGTCTTCAGCACGACATCTTTTCCACCTCTATTGGGTCTCTCTGCCTGCAATGCTCCCATCCACACACATGCCCAAACCCTACTGGCTCTCAGCAAATGTCCCTGGGTGTTTACCCTTAAAGTTTGGCTCGCTCCTTGTTTACTATGCCACAGACTCTGCATGCTCAGTGATGTCATCTGAGGCCAGGCAGTCCCTTCACCACAGGAAATCAGGTCATCTTTGCCCTTTGCACCCCTCTTTCCCCAGTGACTGTTATTGAGCGTACAAATCAATGGCCAGTTTTTAGAGAGCTGTGAAAGGACTCCCTCATTCCAAATTAGACATTTTTTATTTTACCTTATTATTTTCTATCTAAATAATAACTCTCCCCAGTGCCAAAAACCAAGCAAGGGCTTCAAAAGATTTGGGGAAGCAGAATTTAAAAACCAAAGGGAGAGGGGAAGAGTTTGAAAAGAGCTCTTCCCCTTTGTGTAAGGAGCAGCTGGCCCTGCCAAGGTGGCTGTCACCATCCACAATGGGCCATCTGGCACAAGTCCATGGGCCTGCTTGGGTAAGGGAAACTCAATCAGCTGAGCCCAACTTAGACAGAGCTGGGTGCTCCCTCACTTATCTCTTACTGGGGGACATTACCTCCTGGAAAATTTCTCTGCTACAGAGAACAAGGTTTGCTCTTGAACAAGGTCTAAATATATATACACAAATTGGCTTTTCCTGGTACAGAGAGGAAGGTTCTGCATAGTAACATCTCAGGAAGCTGCTGCTCTAAAACAATGCCTCCCCTCTATGAATACCCTCATGTCCTGATGGGGGAAACTCATTTGAAGCCTTGCTTTTCTTTCCAGTGATTCTTGACACATTCCTGGAAAACACTTATGCATTCTAGTGACTTCATTGCTCATGAATGCTTTGGGCCAAGTCAGACTATAGTTGAACTGAGTGTCTCATACTGTGATTGGCTCTCTCACTTATAAACTCTCCTCCATGACCCACGAAGATGTGACAGAGGCACAAACAATCAATATGTGACAGATGCAGAAATAAGCATCTTTCAACAGTCATGGTCCTGTTTGTGAGTCTTGATTATAGGTTTGAGTATCAGCAGGTTGTTCTGAAAGAGGACCTTTCTTGCCATTGCCTAAGATCACTACATTTTTCATGGTGACTCCAGAGAATGAGAACCCAGCCAATAAAGACTCAAAAGGAATTTTTCTTTTAAAAAACTGAACTTGTCTAAATATGTACTACCAGGAATTATCACAGAATCTCTAAGAATTGGAGCCCAGCGCTCTTCACAGGAGGTCAGCTTAAATAAACAGCCTTTGCAGTGCCCATGGAATGGTGCTGTACACAAGTCCTCAGTACCCAGCATTCATACGTGGGGCCTTTGAAGTACCTTCAGGCCCTGCTGCTCCCTGGCCGCCCAAGCTCAGACACTGGAATCTGCTTCCAGGTTCTCATTTCTTCCAAGCTTTCCCCCTCACCTGGTTATATTGGTGTTTCTCCTCAATTCCATCCTAGGACCTGTGCCTCTATCCTGGGTTTTGGCTTCTGCACCATCTGGCACCAGGGCTAACCCGGGCCCTCCTGTCTTCTTCACCTGCCTAGTTCTGGACCAAGTCATCTTTCTCCATGCCTATAATGAGGGAAAGCATGGTTTGGTGGAAAGAACAGGGATTTCAAACCTGGTGGCCTTTCTCTGTGTTACCTTAGGTAAGTCTCTAAGTCTCCATCTGCATAAGAGTTTCAGAAAGGATGAAGACAAATGATGCAAAGAGTAGCACCATTGCCTAGCAGAGAACATTCTCGGCAGAGAGCAGCTCCCTCCATTCCGTGCTTCTTTTTCTTCCAAAGCGTCTGCCAGCAGCAAGAATTAAGACTTCAAATGACACCAGTCAACAAAGGACAGGCACATGCTGGTTCCACCAGGTATGTCATACATAGTCAGACTTTCATAATTTTACCAGAGCCTTTGACACCTGAAACCCAGCAGATGGGTCTAGGAAAGGATTTTTTTTTTCTTCTAGCAGGGTTTTACTTACATAAAACTGAAAGCTCAGATTTGACAGCTTCAAGGGGGTGTTTTCTGCAAAGACCAACATGGATCCCAGACCCAGGGGCCCGCCCTCACCTTTGGCAGAGTCGTCATAGCCAATGTGCTTGATAGTGTCCCTCACCACCCGCTGGTAGTCCACCATGGCCGTTGAGGTGATCTCCCCACACAGTAGCACCATGCCTGTCTTGCATACTGTCTCTGAAAGGGAAGGGGAGAGGTTATCAGCCATGGGCCCTGGAGGAAGCTCAAGTACCTAGACCTCTCACAGTATGGAGATGGGAATAAGGAATGTATTCCAGAAAGATTCAATACACAGAATATCACGGGATGAAGAAATCTGTTGCAGACCAGAGGACATCTCTTTGTAACTCAAGAGAATGACTCCATGGTCTTATGCCCACTAAGACCCTCAGTGCAACCCACTCAGGTCTCCAGCAGAAAGGAATGTGGTCTCTTACCACAGGCCACCTTGGCATTGGGATCTTGCTTGAGGTGGGCATCCAGCACTGCATCACTGATCTGGTCGCAGATCTTATCTGAACAAGAATAAACATGAGAATGACACAAATAATAGGTCTAACAAACTGACATGCTAAAATAATTTGAGGTTGTCTATTTACATATCAAACTCACCTGCCAAAGAGAACACTTTCAAATACAAGAAATCAGATATATTTTGAAATTTTTATTTCTTCTCATTTCTGTCTACTTTTTGGAGGGCACATACTATATCATAGCATTTACTAAAAAAATGAAGTACATTTCAAACTTCAGCTCTTTGAGACTCTAAGGCAATTCACACACACGTACATTCATTTAACTAAAATATCTCTCATTCTTGGGCACATTCCCTTTAATTCTAATATATGGAAAAGCCCTAGAAATAGAAGTTAAAATTATTATTGATGTCAGTCAGTAAGATTAGGTGCTATGATGAAAAAATCAGATGGGACAGAACAGCTGCATGGCTGTGTGGGTTCCAGAAGATGCCACGCACCATGTATAAGATACCACCAAAAAGGGACAAAACTTGAGGACATTTTGTTAAGTGAAGTGAGCCAAACTCAGAAGGTCAAGAGATGTGGTTTTCCTCATATGTAGAAGCTAGAGAGGAAAAAGGAAAAGAAAGTGTTGTGGATCATATGGAAAGTTGAATGGAGATCAGTAGAGGAAAAGGACCATGGGAGGGAGGAGGGAGGAATGAGGAGGGAGGAGGGAAGGGAAAGTGGAAATACCAGGGAATGGTTTTGGCCAAACTGTATTGTTATATTGTGTGCATGTATGAATATGTAACAACAAATCCCACCATTGTGGACTTTTGTACACTGTGCTATACATTATGGGTGCACAATAGTGCACCAATAAAATTATGGAAAAGAAAGACACCACCCCCAAGTACATGGTTCCACCTGCAAGAATTCTACAAGCACACACTATAGAGCATTGCTATTCCACAGAACTTTTCCATCAACTTCTCTCAGTTCCTCCTCTGGTTTCTTGGCCTCCTGGAAGTCAGATGTCCTTATACCTGAGAAGGTAGGACTACCAGGGGTTCAACATGGGCTGAGTTTTGATCATATTCTTCCACAATCGGCCTTAAAGACACTACCTGGTCTAATATGTGGATCACTAAATGGCACTGTGGAAAACTCTACTCTTGCTTTGGGGTTATGCAAACTGTGAACACCCACAAAGAAATAAAAGTGACCTCTTTTTACACATGTTACATCTCATTTAGTGTTCAAAATACCCATGGAGTCTGCTCCTCTAAGTAGGTTAATATGTTTTTAAGTTAAGAATCCAGATCCAGAATCAAGTTGTTCAGCTCTCAAAAGCAAATGTTAAGTTCAGAAATTAAAGATATTAGTTAATCTGCCATTAAAAGTGAATTTTCTAATGTCTCTTTTAGAAACTACTCCTAAACATATTTGGGCTTTCCTCTCTTTCTTGCCAGTGGCAAATACTGGTTATAAATTGAGGCATGTCCAAATCCATAGCCTCTGTACATCCCTACCAACAGAGCCCTCTTTTGGCTAAAATATCCTAAGATTTCAGGCCATCATATTGCAAAAAGTTATCACAGGTTGATTATTAATGTCTCTGCTTATTTAAAGGACCCAGCTTACATGTCCCACTCTGGGTAGGGAAAAACAATTGCTATAGGTACAAAACCAGAGTTCAGCAAGCTTGTTGAGATAACAGTATAGATAGCATAATGCCTAATAGAAATAATTCTTTTTAGGCTTTCAAAATTTCTCTAAGTATCACTCAAAAGGCTTACAATAGCTACTAGTCACTTTTCTTGGAAGTTGAACAAGAAACATGAATTTTATCTTTCTAGTGGAGAAGAATTCAGCCCTGAAATGACAAGCAGAAAGTCACCAAACATTAGAAGAAACTGACTTAGTTGGGCAGTTAATTTACCTTGGCAAGTAAGAGGGGAATCAGACAGATTGGTGGGCTGTCATTAAGCAGACAAGAGAACCGATAGCTTGGTGGGGATTTTCATTTTCTGTCCACTGAAGCACATGACTGTTATGTAAAATGGACCATGCTTGGAACCACTGGCCACTGCATGCCAAAGAACCCACTTCCTTTAGGTGGGACAAATGTTTCTCCTAACCTGCAGATGATCTTTATAGGGCATGGAGCTGAGCAGAGTACACTGGATATTAGCCGCTTACCTGAGATAAGTATAGTAAACCTAGAAACTATAAAGTTGTGCACAATGAAAGAAGCCATTTACATTGAATTAAGTCTCCTACAAATTAATCTAATTCAAGGTTTTCAACAGCTGCACTATTGACATTTTGGGCCAAATAGTTGCTGTGGGATTGTCTTATTTATTGCAGGATGTTCAGCAGCATGTCTGGCCTCTATCTAATAGAAACTGGTAGCATCTTCCTKCCACCCCCATAGTTCTGACAATCCAAATTGTCTCCAGACATTAAAAAATGATCTTGAAGGAAAGGGACCAATATTTTTCTGATTGAAAGCCACTGGGTAACACACACAGAAGGATTACTGCAAGAAGATGTCCAAAGCCAAGATAAAAGGTATGAAAGTTAATTTTCTTTGAGAAAGAACAAGAATAGGGAAGATGGGAAAGGCAGAAACGGTGATCAGTTACCATACACTTCAACTTCTCAAATGGATGTGAAGGGGTGTTTAAATACATGCATCAATCTGTCTAGCCCCCAAAGTTCTCCTAGAATCACCTTTCTCAAAGTGTGGTTCCCACATCAGCCATCAGCATCTCCTGGGAATTTGTTGAAAATGCAAATTCTAGAGCCTCTACCAAGACATACTGAGTCTAAAACTTTGAGGATGGGGTCCAAGATCCTGAGTTTCCACAAGCCCTTGAGTAATGCTGATATGCCCCAAGGCTAGGCAACTTTTGTCTTACAATTTGAATCTCTGCATATATGAGCATTGTCCTCATTGTCACCAAGGAAGCCTCTCCCACTTTCCCATGTCTAAGTCCACCCACCTTTCAGGGACCAAAACAATGGTTGCATTTTCTTCCTCTTGGAAGTCATAAGTCTTCCTCTTAGAAGATGAAATAGACCCCTCAGCAACTGAAAATCTATGTCAGCACTGCGCGGAATGCAGGGCTGTTCATTTCTAACCTCACATGCTTTACATGCAAAACTTAGTGATCCATGGTCTTCTGTTGCCTTAAAATGCACATTGATAACAGATTAAAGCTTTAGGGGGATAAAAAGACTATAAAAAGTTAAGATCTGATGGTGCATTTTTGTATGTATCATATACTTAGATAACCAACTGCTTGTTATGTCTTGACCCCACTATGCTGAGATGCTGGTGGCGGGCAACTGCATGGACCTTTGACTTCTTAATAAGTAACTGTTTTACAAAACTATTATATATTGTTTCTCCAGAGATACCTTATAATAAGTAAATCGAATACATTATTTTAAGACATCTAGTAAAAGTGGCTGCCTTCGTACAGGCTGGGAATGAAGGACTTACCAATCAGTCCAGGACAACCTACTTACCTGGATGTCCCTCTCCTACAGATTCTGATGTGAACATGAAGGCTCCTTCTTCATTTAGAGAATAGTCACACAAGCCATCCACAGGTCCATTCATTTTTCACACTTTTCTACTCCACTCCTTCAAAGTAACAATTTCAGTGCTGTGACTTCGCCTGGGGTTTTTCCTACAGACCCACAGGCTTGTCTTTGGCAGAGTCACAGGGATCACTTCTGCCTAACTGCCCAGTGAGCGAGCACGTGAAAGTAAGGTAAGAATGGGCGAGAGGGAGGGAGTGGATGGAATAGGATATGTCACTCCCCTCGGCTGGTCTGAGCTTGCTCCTGAGTGACTCCTATATATGGGAAAGTGAAAGTGCATGAATAATCATGTGAGAACATTGGAGGAGTCCATTTCCTGGGAGGGGAGTCTTCTTACCTTGAGGAATTTCAGTCCTCTGCTCTGGTTGCCCAAACCCTAGGCATCTGATCAATGTAAGGTGGAGAAATCTGTCTAGATTCTGCAGAAGTGAAGCTTCTTTGGGACTTTCCTTCAGCTCTCCAGCTAATCTCCGTGTTGTTTCAGGGTTAATAGCCCACTTTGGAGGGTCGACGGTCAGGGGGAAGGGGTCAGTGGTTACTCGGACACAAACAAGCAGCAAGAAACTCTTTCCCAGAGATATTGTTTAGGCTTAGATTGCAACACTGTGTGGCTTTGCTGTTGGGTGCTACCCCTCCTCCCCCACATCTTATCTGGATCAGGCTCCCCACCACCTCCTCAGGGCACAGCAGGAGTGTACACCTGTACTCTGAACCAGCTGTGATATTATACAACAGACTTATTTTAAAGGAAAAGCTTTTGAGTCCACATTTTTCTGCTAACAGAAATCCTCTAGACTATTAACTTCTCTAAGCAGCTGGCAGGCATATATCAGGCAAGGTTTTTTTTGTTTTGTTTTGTTTTGTTTTGTTTTTGTTTTGTTTTGTTTTTTAATTATCTGAACAGGTAATGGAGAACAATAGATTCTTTTGGAAAGGGATTTTTGAGAGGTACATTCATTACAGGAAAATTATCGAAGTCCAGTTTCCCAATACTTCCCAGGGATAAAGTAAACATCTGTGCATTTACTTCTACACACTTGACAGACAGACATCTTGTTCACATAACTCCTGCATTATTTTTGCCTTGACACAGAAAAATAGGTAACAGGATTATAACTAGTTTGAGTGCCAAATGAGAGCATCTCTTGTCTCGTTGTCTCCTACTTTCAGATCTCCTATTTCAGATCCTCACATTTATGAAATAATAGAGAACTGAGATCACAGAGACTGAGTATGGATGGAGTAACCAGTTTCCAATAGAATGCAATAAAAAGCAATTAGCTACAACCTTGTGCATCAAAGGTAGAACTGTGGGAAGCAAAAGGCAGGAGGCAATAGCTCCAACTAGTAATTCTGCTGGCCCAAACCTGGCATAAATGTTCCAGAATGGTTTCCTGGCATAAATTCTAGTGTTCCAAATCTTGGGTTTTTGCCAACTGGCCAGCATGATCCCTCCAGGGAATCAAACAATGTTGAAGTGATCTTTTATGGAATAATCTGAGGGATTCTACATACACGTATTGACCAAAGGCCTTTAAAAAAGAGTGAACTAAATTGCTTAAGCACAAGACTGCTGAAAGTTTAGAGAGGAAAAGGGCACTGGGAAGGGACAGACAAATGAGGAATCCAATTGGGACTTTAAACAACACAACCTTGACAGCACACAGGACCTCTCCTATGTGTACTTAAATTATTTCAACATCATCATCCCTTTGTAAATTTATTTGGGGTACATTAGTTTCAAAGCTAGAGATAATATGAGCTAATTTTTAATTTGAACTATAGACCTAGGTTAGCCTAGTAGTTAGAACTGTGTAATGCCATTCTGTTCTAAATTTGCCTGAAGAGTAAGATGAAGTTCAAGTGTCAAGCACTCATCAGAGTTCTTAGATCTAGCAAGAAGACAAAAAACAAGGCAATGACTGCTCTTTGAATTCCAAAATGAATAACAACATCACTGGGTAGGGAAGTACTAAGGCTAGGAGATGTCTTGTACACAGAAGTGATAGTTTCAAAAATGTATGCCAGATATTCATGCAGCCTGGCCACCAATTCAGAGTGAGCAAAGGATCTGGGAAGGATCTTAGTTCAGTACCCATATCATGTATGAGTTTCTTATAACATCCCTAGTAAACACTAGAAAGCTTAATATTCTTTCAGAAAATAAGTGTTAAGAAACAACATAAAGGACATGGTGATTAGAAGTGCAGGCTTTGAGTCTGGGGACCCAGTGTTGCCTCTAACCTACTAGGCTGCCTAGAGTCAGCCTTCTAGCCTTTCTAGGCTGTTGTTTCTTGAGTTATAAAACAGGTAAAATAATTCCCTCCTAATAGCATTGTTGTGAGAACTAAATTAGACCATTTAGATATGATGAATGCTGAACATACTGCTATCAAACAATAAAAATTTAATAAATACTGCAAAATATTATGATTAAATCTATATACATAAACATGATTTTCTTCTGAACAAAAAAATATCATTGTGTGTATATGTTTGGGTGAATGCATAAGTGTGTATATATATGTGTGTGTATACATGCATGTATACACATATTTATTTGTTTGTTTGTTTGTTTGTTTGTTTTTGCATCTTGCTTTTTCCCACAAGGTCTTCTTTTCACATCTCATCTAGATAGACCTCATTTTGAGCACCTGGTTATTATTTCACACTAAAGATGTACCATAAATTATTTAACCAGTCATTCCCCAATTGTTGAATATTTTCAACTTCAGCTATTTAGTATCTCAATAATTCTGTAGTGAAGATACCTATCATAGGCATATTTTTGTAAAAGATAAAATGAAAGGCCCTGGTAAAGCTGAATGAGCCAAAATTTTTCACTTCTGGAATACATTTTTCCAGTTAGATAAAAATTAATAGCAATCCACTCAAGAGTTAAAATCATAGCTTCAATCTATTTCAGAAAGAATCAGCAGATCTTGGCAAAAACATAATTGGTTTGATAGCTGAAACCACAAGGACTTCCTAGCCCTAATTTGCCATCATAAATGCAAATTGAATCTTACCTTTTGCACAGACTGTCCTGTTCTCCCTTACGCATGAATTGTCCTAATGCCCCCAGCCCCACTGATTACTCAAGTTCAATGTCAAAGGCCCACAGTTGAACTCACTTTTTATGCAGCAACCTTCAACTCTGACACTTCACTGATGAGTCTCAGAAAACACTTGGCTTTGAAAATAGATCTCACTGCAAACCAGATTCACTCCTAATGAGTCTCGGAGTGTGAAAGGGAGAACTATTTTCAATGGGCAGTGTATTCAGGACACTCTGACAAGTTTATGAAAGGAGCTTTGAGGGCATCTGATCCTCAGCACCACCAAGAGGCTAGTGGAAGGGTGCTGACCAGACGGTGCCCTTCATTGGCAGCCATACTACCATGACTGATGGACATGTGACAAAAAGAAGAAAGGGCAAATCTGACAACCTGGAACTCTAGATGCAGAGACACCATGTGCAGGAACTATTTGCTTATTTATTTTTTTTATTTTTTTATTTGTTCTTTTTATTTATATATGACAGTAGAGTGTATTTTGACATATCATACATACATGGAGTACAACTTCCCATTTTTGTGGTTGTACATGATGTGGAGTTACACTGCTTGTGTAGTCATATATGAACATAGGAAACTTAAGTCTGATTTATTCTGTCTTTCCTATTCCCATCCACCTCCCTTCCCTTCATTCTTCTTTTTCTAATCCATTGAAATTCTATCTCCTCCACTCCACTACCCTCGCTTATTGTGAGTTGGCATACAGGAGCTATTTAAATACAAACATTTCTAAACTTCAGTTAGAAGCTCCTCTGGCTTAAATGGCATAGTAATTGCATAGAATATTTTCAGAAAGAAAGATCTATTTATTTTGTCTTATTAATTTATTTAAATGCAGACTTTCCCCCACGTATGTCATCCTAGAACCTGGATAACTTATTTGTGAAAGAAAAATAAAATCGATTTAGAATGTACATTTCTAAAATTTTTAGATAATTTTCATTATATATGGCCTTCATTGGGTAAAAAGTTCAAAATGAGATATACTTCATGAACAATAAACTATTTTGAAAAGAAAAAAAGAAATATTGAAAGAGTTCATGCAAAAAGCAGGACATGAACTGGAATGATGGAATTTAGGAAGGCAGCTGAGAGGCCAAGAGACCCTGGAAAGGGGCAATTTCAGTCAAGAGCCACAGCAAAAGATCATTGTCCAGTGTCACCTGAGGATGGCAGGGTAAGAGAGGTGGGCAGGGACACAGAGGTCTGGGAAGCTGGAGGCTTCAAGCAGTGAGTAGCCCTGAAGATTCAATGAGATGGAAGTTACAACAAATTATGTTGTTGTATTGTGTGTTGTGTGCATGTATAGGTATGTAACCACAAATCTCATCAGTGTATTCACCTATAATGCATCAATAAAAAACAGGGGTGGTGGTGAAGATGGGAGTTACAGCTTGACAGGAAAGTGCAAGCAAAGTTGTTGGAGAAAGAATCTAAATTCAGAAAGAAGAGTTAAGATTCTTGCTTTGATTTAGAAGTAATCTAATAAAAAAACGGACTCTACAATGCTCATGTAATTGAAGGCAAAACCAGCTATGCCTTGTCATTTTTCAAAACCATGTGGCTTTTCTTGGTAGAATCATTCCTTCCCCCAAACATGTATATTTCCACTTTTAACACTTGAAATTCTGAGAAGTTGATTCATTTCTTGATTAGCTATCATTAATATTCAATTTTTCACAAAACCTGTCAATTCTTCTTCAACAATGCATTGGAATACTCCCCCTCCATTTCCAGGTCCATGTATAGGTATCTGTGCACCCTTCCATGTTATTTCAGATTTGATTCAGGCCCCAGCTGGGCCTGCCATCTTACACCAACAGACCTTCCAGAGGTGGGTACCATGTTGCCCATGGTAGGTATTTTAAAGCTACAACCTGACTCTTACCTGGAAAAAAAAAGAGCAATCTCTTATGCCAATTATCCCTAGTTAAGGCATACAAACAATATTTATATAGTGAAAGCCAAATCACAGTCCCACTCTGCAATCTCTGTCAGCAGTCAAAACATGAACCACAGTGTCACACACAAAGACAGGGAAGAATCACGGCAGTATAGAATTCAGTATCACCCCCCCAAAAAAAGGCCAAATAAAATATATAATATAATACCCCTTCCACAAAAATAAACAC